CTGTCACCACCTGAGTGAGCATGAAAAGCTTCCAGAGCAATGAAAAGTTGTAACCTCAAAACCTCCTTTTCTGATGGGATTTTATTCCTTTATTCCTTCCCCTGGATTCTAAAGCCAGGCACATAGGAGGCAGAATCAAAGTACGCTTGTTTGATCTTTTTGTCTGATCTTGTTCAGAATTTCACTCTAGAGCAGATTTTCTCACTGTTGACATTTTGTTGTGGTGACTGTCTGAACCTTGTAGGATATTTAGCCATGTCCCTGAACACTACCCACTAGATACCAGGAGCACCCAACCCCAGCTGTGACTACCAAAAATATCTCCAGACATTGCTTAATGTCCACTGGTCCAAGTTGAGAACCACTAGTCAGGAGGGAAATGAATCCTATAGCTTTACTTATGGAATTAGGACATTTGTGCTTATTTGTATTTCACTCTTCTCTCCACACTAGCTTTTTTTTTCTGAGTTCTGCAGAGTAATAGTCCTGTAAAATGCCCAAGTGAAGTATAGTACTGTACGTTTGGTAAGTGCTGTGTTAAGCTGCACATCTTAACACAGGATTTTTAGAGCTTTTATTAGATGATGTTTACTGTGACCATCCATGAGTTTTCCTTATTTACTGGATCACAGAACCCTTTTCCAGTTCCATGAAATGTCTCTCTCAGATGTGGATCCATTTGCTCTCCAGCAAACCTCCCCCATTCCAGTGACTGTTAGCCACCACCTATTCCCTATAGTATCTCAGGGTAACAATATCCATCCCTTCACTCCAACCAAAAGCCTACATTTATCTTGTCTCTTGCTTCTTCCATCTCTCCTACATCCAGTCACTCATCCTGTTGTGCTAACATCTCCTAAATATTTTTCAAATCTGTCCTCTTGTGGCTGGCCTACTGCAGGAGCCTCATAGCTTATTTCTTTGCCCCAATATGTCTCCAGTCCCACCTCCAGGTGGATACCAGCCTAAGCTACTATCTCTCTCCTTTGCATCAAACCCTGATACTTTGGAAGCAGAGAAGGCAGAATGAGGCAGGAGCAGGCCAGTCACACTAAGGAGCATCCTCATGGAGGCAGGGCAGTCGGTCACCTGTACTGCATCCCTATGTGCCAAGCATGCCCTATGTATGCTAGACTCTCCTACTACCAGGGAGAGTCTAGCATGCATAGACTACCAACCACATTTTAAGGATAGGGAAATGGAAGCTGTGAGTTAATTTCCCAGGTTATCAAGTTAGTAGACTGAATTAGGATTTTGAGTACAAGCTCTCTCCTAAGATTGACAGGAGGCTAACCTTAATACCTCATCAGAAGAGCTCTTTTTCTTTTTCTTTTCTTTTTTTTAACTGTCTAGTGTTTGTGGTGAACGTATTTGGAATTCATTAAAATCTTATTTTGAAGGTAGGATGTCCTGTGGCCCTATTTTTTGAAGTTAAATTTGTTTTTTCTTTATCTCAGATGAAAGCTATTTTGGGGGAGAGAATTGAAGTACCTATCCTCTTTGGGGTCTTGAAAATACCCAAAGTCTAGAAAGTCCTTGAGGCACCAGGGGCCTAGGAACTTGAGAGGTGAGCTAAGAGGCCAAATCCTCTCTAGGACACTGTATGTCACACAAAGGGTACCAGCCTCAGTAAGACCCAAACAAGAGACCAGACGCTCGTGACTGCTCATGGATGTGTATTTTAATAAAAATAATTCTGTCAAAATACAACAGGAGTTTTTTTCATCTCTCAAGTACAATTTAATAGGATGTTTTGTGTTAGAATTCTGTCTAAACCCTCCCACACCCCCAAGTCTCATGCTAATGCCAACGATCAACTTGTGAGGACAAAGGCAGACCAGTGTGCACGATGTGGGGGACGTCTGGTCAGCGGTAGTTGCGAATGGAGGAAAACCCTATGCAAAGAGGCGGCGCCTCAGGCAGCCAGAATCCACAATCTGGCCACAGGTCCGGGTGCACAGGACTGGTGGCCAAGCAGGGCTCTGCCGCCCAGCCGCCACGCAGCATGCATACCTGAGTTGTGAGCAACCATAGGAACTTTTAGCTCGGACAGTTCTCTGCCTCATCTTCTTTGTGCTTGCATATGGGGTAGGAAGGCGCTAGGTGGCCAGGCAATCCCCACTTTTCTTAGTGTCCCCTTTTTGAAGGCCTGCGCCTAGCTACAGACCCATGTGGTGTGGGTGAGGATCAGGGTTCTGGCTTTGTGTGGTCTGCCAGTTTTCATCCACTCTGGAAGAAGCAATCATTTGGTGGCATGAGGAGAAAAGGTGAGGAAGGAAGGCTGTTCTCTCAGGGCTGGACAACCCAACAGGGCTAACTAAGTCTTCCTCCTGACCCTTTGGGCTCCTTCTTCACCAGGGCTCCTCCCAGCTGCTTCCCCCACTCGCCACTCCTGGGAACAGGCTGGAGGGACTGGGTGTGCATAAGGGGCTCCTCTGGCTGGCAGGCAGGCCTGGACTATCAGCAAGACAGTGGGCTCAAGCAGCTTGGTTTTGGTCCTCTCCACGGCTTGTGGGGCAAAGGCTTATGTCCCAATGGTTAGCTGTCCAACTGGGACAGAGAGCCCCTCTGGAGAGGAACAGAGTAAACAACTTGGACTCAGCTGAAACAGTGAGATAAGGCACAGAAAATGGGGACATGGCCATGGATACTGAGTGCAAGCCAGGCAGCAACCAACCCCAAGCAGCACAAAGCTGTCCTGGACCCTCCTGGGCCCTCTCTCAGATGCTCCACAGCCCAAGCCCAGGCACCTATCCCCATCCCTGACACACCCCTGAAAGTACCAGCTGCTCAGACACTGCTGGAGGCCTCCCTAACACTGCTGAGCCTAACCCCTTGCCCACTTTAGGATTTAACAGTATTGCCCAACCCACAGGATGAGGTTAGTCCCGACTCTGGCACAAATCTGCTCTGTGACGTTGGCCAACTCACTTCACCTCCTGGACTTGTTTCTTGTAAAGAAGAGGATTAGTGGAGCAGATGTTCTCTGTACCCCATCCCAGCTGCAAGAGCCTCTGGCTTTAATTCCCAAATCTTCTTGGCTCTGGCCATTTTAACAGACTGATATTTCCACTTCCGGGTTTGGGAATTAGACCTGTACAATAAGTTTCCTTGACAGACAGGACAACTCCCTGATGGGCCATGGTCTGTGGGCCGCCAACTGCCTTGGCGGGACCAAGAAAAAACAGCAGCCTATATTATCGTGTCCCAAGGCAGAACTCTAAGACAGCACAGGGCCAGATCCTGACCTCATAACTAGCAACTGGTCCAACTCAATCATTTCTCTTGTTGTCCAACTATGGGCTCAGCAAGGCCTGATGGACACTGAATATCTCAGGCCGTCCCAACCATTCCTGTGTCCACTGACAGAGAGCAGCAGCTTGCCCAGGCCAGATCGAGGCAGGGACTGGAAATTCAACTTTGGACCTCATTCCTTTGCAAGGACTGCCTGTGTGCTCCCTCCCACTGTGAAGCAGGTGGAGAAATCCCAGTCCCTCCTGGTGCTCCTCTGGGTAGACCTCTTCCCTTTCTTCTTCCCAGGGCTGTCAGTCCTCGCAGCAGATGGCCACCCACGTCCTGGAAGCCATTGTAGCCCTTCCTTTCCTGATGACAGTACCAGGATTGTTTTTGCCCTTACCATCTGTAAGGATCCATCTGACGGGGCTGGTGGGACATTTGTAAAGCCCGTGAGGTCCCTTCCTCCAGCCAGCAAATACTCCTAACAGTCTTTCTAAGAGTGGCTGAGGCCGATCTGCAGGGAGCTGCCTGGCACAGCTGCAGTGAAGCCTGGCCTAGAAGGTCAAGGGTTCCATCCACTCCAGTTACCAGCAGCCCAAGAATCTGCCTCTACAAGGTCCTGGCTTCTCAACAGAAAGCATGGATTCCATCAGAGCTGTGCAGAGCCAGTGAAGATCCGGGCAGGAAGCAGGCCCTGTACTCAAGGGTCTCTGTCCTGGGACTGGAGACTTCTTTCCCGTAGCCTGACACACACAGCAGCTCTCAGGTCAAAGGCAGGTAGTTTCCAGGCAATCAATTTAGAGTAATGACTTATTTGGCCATCTTAGCAAATGAAGGAAGGATGTTGAAAAGGGAAGAGAGAGGTGCAAGAAAGGCAGTGAGAGGCAGGGTAAAATGGTAGTGTGCTGGTCAAGAACCCTCTACTCTCTTTCTTTTGTTGTAAGGCCCATGTCAACTCTTCTCTTCTCTGGACCCTGGTCCTACAGGTCTCTGCTCAGTCTGACTCTCAGGGGCCTGGGGACCCACACCTCTTAGATTCTGCAAACCAGCTTAGTTTGACCTGCCCACTAAGTGCCACTGTCCCCCATCCCCATCCCCACCCCCCTCAAGCCTAATGCACTTCCCTAAGCTGCAGCTGGGCCTGTAGCTCAACGGGAAGCCTGAAATAAATCACTTGGCTGAGGTTACAGAGATGATTCTTTTTTTAATGAGTTGGACTCAAATAAAAACATATGGTGTCTGGACAGCCTCACCCAAGAGGTGCTGGACCACTAACACTACGATAAATACTGTGTCTTTTTTAATATATATATATTTATATATATATATAATCTCATTTTTTTACTTATGAAAATAATAAGCTATCACCAACTTGGATAGGCTTCATCACTAAATTAGCAGAAACCAGCTCAGCACAAACTCTCCAGAGATAAATACTGGTGGCTCAGTCAGGAGGAAAAAAATAAAGATTAAAAAACTCCAACCCCTCCTCAACACAAAACCCCCATTTCAAAGTAGGCGCTACAAGAGAGTAACCAGCCAATACTGTGTCATAGGCTGCTGCGTATGTGGAGGTGGGTGTGGAGGGAGAGAGACTAAAGGTGGAGAAAAAGGAAGGAAAAGAAAGGAAAAGAAGGTGAGGAGGCCAGGCAGGAGTGGACTCTGCCCATGGCTTTCAGGTCCCTGTGCCAGATGCCTGTGGAGGGCGGGGCTCCGGCCCTGGGGCCGAGAGAGGGCCACGTAAGGCCAGCCAGCATGGTCAGCTAGTGCAAGTAGTCGTCGACTCTGGCAAAGGAGCAAGATCCCAGGCCCGCTCGGGCCATAAGCCGTAGACATTCAGATGCCTGGCCCAGGGCGAGCATCAGAGGGGGCTGCTTTGGCAGGTTTTGAGACTCTGTGGAAGAAAGACAAGGCCTGGTCACTGCCCTGCCCAGGGCTTGGCCCAGATCAAAATTTCCTTGGGAACAGAGGGGTGTATGTGTGTGTGTGCATGTGTGTAGGGGGTGGTAGTGGTGGAGGAGGAGGTCAGGGGGAGGGGGCTGAATAAAACCTCTTGAAACAGAGTGTTCACATGTCTGTGTGTGTGTCCCAGCCACCAGGCCATGACCCTGCAGCCATGCCAGAAACCAGAGGACCTTTGCTTTCTTCAGAGCAGTGGGTTGGCCTGGGCCCACGGTCACAACCTAGGGCCCATCACAATCTACTCAATTAGGCAGAGGGAGGTAAGGATTTAGGCTCAGCTACAGGAGCCCAAGAGTCCTATGGGCCACCAGAGAGCTCCTGGGTTGAGCTCACCGTCCTGATTTGGAAAAACGTCAGCAATTCCTAAGGAGAAAAGGGAGGGGCCAACTGTGCACTCATGGGCAAGCTTCTATTTTTATTAGATCAACTTACCTAAAATAGCACTGTTGAGGGCAGCGCACACAGGCTCCCTCTGGATGGGGTCAAGCTGCTGGCCAACTGGGCAGCTCCAGGGGTCTGAGTACGCCAAGAGGCTAAAAGCATCCTAAGGGACAGGGCACTCTTGAGAAGACTGTGGCACACACTACACACACACCTCTGTGACCCTCAGTGAGGATCCCACACACCCCATTTTTGGGTCAGGGAGGGTTGTGGTCTCCTTAGAGCCAAGAAGAGGGCAGGATACACCCTGGGTGTCCCATTTCCCGTTGCAGACTTGCCTGGAGCCCACTCTGTCCTGGTGCTGCTGTCCCAAGGACCCTCCCAGAGTCACCATGCCTCCGTTAACCAAATAGGGGCCCTCTCTGGATGAAGGCCTGGCTTGTTCTGTACCTGCAGCATCTCCGTGTGGGCCAAATTCTTGCCATACTCCCTGCCCAGCTGCTCACTCAGTGCCTGCAACTCGCGGCCAAACAGGATTATCCTTTCTGTGGCAGCCTGGTTGCCCCCACATAGCTGCCGCCGAGGATGCCCATCATCTGCACCCAGAGTCCAGCAGAGAACACATCAGGAGGAGTGAGGAGAGAAAGGGAGGACTTGAGGGAGGACACCAAAGAGAACATGGCAAGAATGACCTTGGGGTGAGGGGTACTGCTTCTGCCTGAGGCAAGTGAGGGCTGGGAGGAGCAGGTGCTTAGTCCACCTAGCATGTGCTCTGGGGATCGGCTCAAAAGCTTTCCCTCTCCCTACCCTGTACAGATGCATGGTGCCCACTCCCACCAACTCCCTCTAGCCTTCCCACCTCAGGCATCCAGTAATGATTGGCTAAGGAGGCAGCAAACCAGGTCTACTAGAGCCCCTCAAGCTGCCAAAGCCTGCCCCTCCCAACCCCCTCCCAGGGGGGAGGGGCATCTGGACTGAGTGTGCCGCCCAGGGAACACCATGCTGGAGCACGGCCCTCACCCATGCTGGACTCATCTGTCTGCAGGTCCTCATGCTTATAGGCACCATTGACGATGCGCGTGGACATGCTCTCCAGCACACCGTTGGGGTAATGCTCCGCCTCCATCTCCATCTCACTGTCGCTGTGGAGAAGGGTTGAGGTGGGAGTTGGCCAGGGTGATGTGGTTGCAGTAGCTTGCTTGGGCCTCCTGTAGCTATGCTGTGGGTTAACTGAACGCTCCGAGGAGCTTGAAAGAACAGCTCTGGCTTCCCAGGCTTCAACACTTGGCCCCTCCTGAGATACCAGCCAGAGGTGTGTCATATGATTCTCACTCTTGTCCCCATGCTGCCTCTAAGACCTTCCCCTTGCTGACCTTCCTCTGAGTTGGCACACCCCTAACCATCCCTCCACCCCCAAATGACTGGAGCCTGTGAGACCCAACGGGCATCTCTTCTGGACCCGAACCCTAAGGCCACTTGTATCTGTAGCCTGAAATCCCTGCCTGCCCAACCTGGACGACCACAAGCCAAGCCGAGTAAAAGTGCCTTCAGTATACTGTGGGGGTCCTTAGGCCTGGTCTCTGTGGGAGACCACATTCTCAGCCTTGCAGTGCGGGTGCCTCTGGATAAAGAGAGGACAGAGTGGCAGTTGAATCATGGTGGGACCAGAAGCTCGAGACAATGCCTGGCGGGTCAGCAGCTACTATTCCAGGCTCAGACCTGGGATGGAGGTGGAGGAGGAAGTGCAGGGGGCAGTACTCAAAAGACGGGCTGCAGTGTGCCCAGGTGGCACAGAGCAGAAGGCAGAGGAAGAATCTAAGACAGGCACCTGGTCTCTTGGTTACTGGTGCTGCTGTGGGGCTGGGACTTGGTGGAATCTGTTGAGTTGGACTCGGAATAATTGACGGAGGATGGGGACGAGGAGGAAGAGGAGGACGCGGAGGAGGACGAGGAGGAGCTGGGCGCGGGGTATTTACTGTGGTTCTGTTTGCTCTTGGAGGAGGCGATGCCATTGCTGCAGCTGGGACTATCTGCACCTGTAAGCCAGGGAACGGTCAGAAGAGGGGGAACAACTTGCCATCAAGCAGGGCCCTGGGAATGACTAGAGTGGTCGGTCCCATTTCCCTTCCAAATCCAGCAGCGAACCTTGAGCCCCGCCCAGGGAAGGGTCTTGTAAGTGGACTTTCTTCACGCCAGGATCTCCCAGAGCCCTCTGGAGAGCGGCTGACCTGTATTGTGCATGTGGGAACTACTGGGGCCGTGTCGGGGGCTGAGGCTGGGGGAGCCAGGGTAGCTGTCCTGGGACTTGGGGCTTCGGGAGCTCAAGCTGCGGACCTCACTGTCAGTCCCATTCACCATCTCCACAAACTGTCGGCACCTGCAGAGGGAGCAGAGCGGCACTGCTCTGGGCTTGGTCCGGGTTGCATGTTCCCACCACCAGCTGAGAAGGGCTGGGCTATGGGGGAGCTGGGAGGCCCCAAAACTTACTTGAGCATGAAGAGCAGGTTAGGGTTGTGTTCTAGCAGCCCTGGGTAGAAGTGCTGTGTGGTCTCAATGGCCTCACCCACACGGCCCTCCAGTACCAACTTCTGGATCTCTGCAGAGAGCAAGAACACGGCAGTTGAGTGAGGGGTTGAAGACCGTCCTCAGAGCCGCACACTGCCAGCCCTGAGCACAGACCAGCCGGCAGTCAGGTGGGCTGGCTCACAGCGCCATGCCAGTTGAGATGCTCATAGAAGAGGCTGAAGAAAGAGCCTGGCCATCCAGTCCCACAATAGACCCTGGTTTCTGCCAAGCAGTAGGAGTCCTCAAAGAATAAGAGGGGAAAACAGAGCAGGGACTCTCAGCCCAGGGCGAGTTTGGAGGCTTGTTCCTGAGAAGTACAGGTCATCAGAGTCTGGGTTGGGGGAGGGGCCCTGGCTGTTGGAACATGATGGGGGGGATTGGCATCCAAGCAATTCAGTGACTCTAGAAGCTCCTCTTCAGACAGATTTCTCTCTTTTCAGGCCTCACAGAGGAGGGGCAATGGAGGACACTGGTTTCTGGGCGAGAGCCCATGTCTTGGCAGTCTTCAGGGGCTGCAGCATGCTCCCTGCGGGAGAGAAGATCCTCCTCCTCACACTGGCATCTCTGACATTGACATCTCTCAGGCACCAGCATCTTGCTCTTGCCCTGGGGCCTGGTACGTCTTGCTGGGTCTGAAACTCTCATTCATAGATCCCAAGTCTGAAATCCTTTTTTGTTTGTCTGGATGGGTGTAGCTTCTCAGGGGAGACACAGACACATGCACATACAGAGACGGCAGGCTCAGAGAGACACAAGCAGGCACACATAGACACACATGTCCACACTCTTCCTATTTCTTTCCTGGGCCCTGTTCCTCTTGGTCAATATCCTCTTTCCATAAACGAGCCCCACAGAACACAGGCCGGAATGAACACCAGGAAAGCCTCCTTTGGCTCCTGCCTTTGTTTGTCTGCACAGTGCAGGACCAGAGACAGGTACTAACACAGCAGCCACTGAGCATCAGATTTCGCACTGATTAGTTCAGTCATCTCTATGGGCAGAAGGAAGAACTACTAAAGTTAAGTAAAATGATGTGAAAGGAAAGACAATGGTCCATGATACAAACAAACTCTTATCAGGAGACCATGAACAAGATGCTGAGTAAAAGCAGGATTCAGGGGGAAGGAAGCACGGGGGGGAGTGAGATCCAGCCAGCCAGGCCAGCAGAGTGTGCATTAGGGAGGTGGCACTGACATTCCCAAGCTGCAGACTGTCCATCTGGGCAGCACTGTCCTGAAAGAGGGACAGAAGCAGGGCCTGGGGCTGGGTTGGGGCTCTGGGCTGGTCTCCTGGTGGTGAGGACCAGAGCTGAATGGAATCCTGGCAGGTTACCCAGGCTGGCATGAGCCAGACAGCAGAGTTAGGGACAGGTGAGGGAGGGAGGGAGAAGGGAGAGGAGAATCAACCTTACTTTGTCTGTTCTTTATGGACGCTTGCTCTTCCTGAATCGGGGTTTCAGTCATTCGGGCAAAAGCTGTGGCTGTGGCACAATACCCATGATGCACCAGGTAAGATGAGACCATGCTAGAAGAAAGGAAATGCTCAGGTGACACTCAAGAACTGCATTTCTCATAGTTACCAAATAGTCACAAGGATGTCAAGTACCGCATAGGGAATATAGTCGATAATATTGTAGTAACTATGTCTGGTATCAGGTGGGTTCTTAAAATGTCAGGGGGACAGTTTGTAAAGTATACGACTAACCACTATGCTGTACACCAGAAATTATACAAAATAATACTGAATGTAAACTGTAATTTAAAAAATGTTAAAAAAAAAAAAAAAAAGAAAAGAAAAGAAAAAGAAAAGAAAAGAAAGAAAAAGAAAAAAAAAAAGAACTGCACTTCTCACTGACCACCTGCTGAGACAATTTCCCTGTTAGGTCTTCCCTAAACACATCTTAGAGGTGCAACTTCCACAGAATGAGAACCAAGGGGTTGAAACAACATGAAAATTCCCCCAGTGCTTATGCAGTCAGGCTGGGTGGGGCTGGTCACATCTGTCCTCAGGGCTTGGAGGAGTGGCTGCAGTTTCTCTGGGATATGCTGCCCACAAGTGGGCAAGCATGGTAACAAAAGCACATACATCATCTTAGAGAAGCAGCTGCCTGCTGTGAAATGCGGCAAGTCCAGAGATGTTCAGCAGTCTCTGAGGGCTTCCTGGAAAGGCAGCCTGCCAAGCGGTCTGGCAGCTGCCCAGCCAGGGAGAATGCACGCCACGTGCATACTTTCAGCAGACACAGGAGCTCCTCTCTGGGCTGCCCCACGTGCCTGGCAGGAACATTCTAGCTTGCTTGGGCCTCAGGTGTGCTGGCTCTAAAGGGTCATGAGGAGCTAACCCACGAACAAGTTCCTCCTGATATGTCACAATTCAGGGCCCTGGGGAACCAAGATAACAGGCAACACTATGGCCAACAGGAGCACAATCTTTGGAAAATAGTCCTGAGAAGCCCAAGGCCCAGCAACCATTTAATCCCACGTGTGCATGCATACACATGTAGAGCAGAAGGAAGAGCCCTCACATCTGATGGATAGCATGTGATAAATGGCACTATTAGAGTTGCAGACACACGTCTGAAGGTCTGTCATGAGGAAGGTACAGAAGTTTAGCTGTGTGCCCCTTGTGTTCCAGGGGGGTAAATGAGATGACATATATAAAGTGCCCAGCACAAAGTAAGAAGTCAATAAATACACTCTTATTATGAAATTATGTATTTTAATGCTATAGTCTAAGTAATGATTCATATATATATTTATTTATTTCAGAGAGGAAGAGAGAGGGAAAGATAGAAAAATCAATGATGAGAGACAAGCAGTGATCAGCTGCCTCTTGCATGCCCCACACTGAGGATCAAGTCTGGCCACCTAAGCATGTGCCCCAACTGGGAATAGAACTGTGACCTCCTGGTTCATGGGAAAATGCTCAACCACTGAGCCACACCAGCTGAGCAGTAAAAATTCTTATAATTATATTTTATTATAAATGCACTGGCAAAATTTTTTGATGACACATTTCAGATGAGTTCATATGCATATCAGATGCCACTAAACTGTCCAGTCACTTTGATTCAATAATTCCACTGCTTGAAAGGGCACCAAGAAAATAATTTTTTTTCTAAATTGATTTTATTGATTTGGGAGAGAGACAGGAAGGGAGAGGAAGAGATAGAAAACATCAAGGAGAGATAAACATCCGTCCTCTGCCTCCTGTATGTCCCTTACTGGGGATGGAGCCCACAACCCGGGCATGTGCCCTGACTGGGAATTGAACCGTGATCTCCTGGTTCAGGAGTTGATGCTCAACCACTGAGCAACACCAGCCAGGCAAAATAAAAAAAAATCTTAAGAAAAACTCAATGTACAAAAGGGTTATCTATACAAGCAAAACACAGGAATTAACCGGAACCTCCCACCAAGGGAAGCCAGTCAAGGAACTTGTAGCGAATTTGTCTCCTAGATAATATGGCCATTAACAATGTTCATAAAACAAACACAAGTTATATGTGGGTGTTGGCAAATACTACCTATGAACACACACAGGCACAAGGATACACACATGTAAACAAGTACACCCATGTGCTGAGCCCAAGCCCTTTCAGCTGAGAGTATCAGTCCCTCCCCCACACAGCTGGGACAGCTCCGGCTCTCCCCTGCCCATCCCAGCAAGTGTGCTGCAGGGACAGGCACTGAGCTGGCCCTCTCAGGATGCGTTTGTCGTTAGCTCTGGGCGCTGGGAACAAAACGTAGCAGAGCTGCTCTTCCTGAGAAGGATCTGGCCACCTCATCCTACCTCAGCTCTCCCTAGGGCTTGGCTCAATTTCAATCCCTCAAGAAAGGAAAACTACACAAAGAACCCAATCCAAGGGACCGGGGCTAGTGGAAGCCTAGCCCTCCACTGCCTATCCTTGGGAACCAAGCTAACAAGCTAACCCTCCTTCTGGCAGAGTGGGGACTGGTCATTGCCTCACCCAGGCCTGCAACTGGTGAAGTGGACAAGAGACCCAAACCTGACCTCCCTTGGAATTTTCAGCAAGACTGGCCTCCAGGACAGCCTGGGAACTAATCAGCGAAGGAAGGTCTGTCTTCCTGCCACCAATGACATGGATGCCTGGGACTTAGCTGGATGCTGACCCTGAAAAGTGACCTCAGGCCAGAATTATGGTGAAAATAAATCTACAGAGGAAGAAACCAGATGGCACCCTAGGACATCCTCTGCAAAATCATCTGGGGAGGCAAAACAGCTCTGCTGGTGATATTATATATGGAGCCATTAGATCCAGTTGGGGGGCAGGAGGGAAAAGTTTAATTAACAGGAGTTCTGGAGAACTGAATGGAGCCACCCATCAGATAAGAGGGAAGCAGAACAGCAGCAGGCAGAGTCATCTGGGAGAGCTTTCAGGAAGGAACACTACCCACTGGAGTTCGTAAGGGGCCTACAGGACAGTGAGGCCTCTGGGATGGGGCAGGGCTGGGGAAGGGCAGGAGCAGGGCACTCACTTCTGTAGCACCGCCTGCCACTCGCCAAGCCGGGCACTGATGGGGAAGCAGTGGACAGTGCCCTGGACCTTGGCACGCCACTCCCGCATGTAGTCCTCAATGTCAAACAGGAAGGGCTGCTGCCCAAAGTTGGCGTCCACAATCTCCCCGGGTGTCTGCAGGCCTACGGTGGGGTAGAGGTTGGCCTGAGGAGGAGAATGAAATGTCAGTCAGGCCCTGAGGGCAGTGGGGCGGCAGGCCGGCTCGGCTCCCACAGGCCACTGCTTTGGCTGTGAGAGAACTCAGCAAGGCTGGAGGTGGCAGCGCTGAGCCACATTCTGCCCACCTCCCTACCAGACACTAGTCCCCAAAACTTGAGGGGAAAAAGCAAAAGCAAAGCAAGACAGGCCCCACATGGAGTCTCCTTCCCTGCATCAGAGGCTGTGGTGTTCCCCAAAGCCCAAAGCCCAAGACTCAGCCCCTCTCTGAGACTCAGCCAGGGCACAGAAAGGCAGGTGGGGCTCCATGAAGGTGTGTGTGCCTGTGAAGATCTGCAGCAGGCATGGGTTACAGGATCCCTTTGCCACAAAAAAAGGGTATATGAGGGGGCAGGAAGACAGGGGAGGCAGGAAAGGAAGGCAGGAAGAGGAGAGCATGGCGAAGAAGTCAGGTGGTTTAGAGCCCCTAACACTGACAAAGTGCAAAGAGAGGCCACTGCCCTTCCTGTCAGAGACTCATTAAGAGGATCTTCAGGCCACTGAGGTTTGGGCATGTCCCTCCGTGGTTGTGGGGTTCCCTGCTTTCTCTCTATTCCCTGCCATGACCAGCTTTTGCCGGGTCACTCCCTCACTCAGTGCCTCCCGTGGCACCCCACAACTACTGACCACATTCATGCCTGGCTGTTTCATGTCACATCTCTGCAACTAGACTCTTCCCTAGTCAGGATTCTCCTTCAGTGTCTATTCACTTTGCCTAGGACCATGGCCCCTTTCTGAGGCCTCCAGGGAGGAAAGGATTCTGATCCATAGACAAGAGGTTCTAACAGGATCCTGGGTGCTGTCATCTGGGCTTCGCAGATCACAAGGCCCCAGGATCCCAAAGCAGCCACCAGAGCCAGCAAACCCTTCCTCCTTCCAGAACACATGGGTGGAGGTCTGCATAGGATGAGGTCCATGATGGCCATTAATAAAGGGACCGTTAATAATGAACTGAGCAGCAGGAAACATCACCCTTTTCCAAGAAGAGAGACCCCACAAAGCTCACCTCTCTGGCTCATGCAAGGAAGCAGGCTCAAGTTCCCTAGGGTACTGGCTTTCCTCGGGGATCTCTAATGGGAATGCACAGGGACCTAACTGTTCAGGAGCAATTCTCTACGCTCTGAACCCCAATCCATTGGCTGTAAGTCACAGAACTGACTCAGAGCAGCTGAGCCATGGGGCTACCCTTATCTCCACCTCCCACCCCTTGCCCCAGCTGTCTTTGGAAATGCCACAAATCACTGCACCTGCTAAGAGTCATGGAGGAAGACCAGCCCTCACTACTGGAGAAAGGCAAGCAGTACCCCGTACTGGTACCCTCAAGTAGACAATATAGTCCATATCCCTGGGTGGGGAAAGGGCAGATTTCACACCCTGCACTTTCCGGTACCACCATAACCAAGCCCCCAAAAGCCCAAAGCGGGGAAGACCCAATGGTAGTACTTACCGGGAGATCTGTGAAGGCTATACCTGTGGAGGGAAAGAAACAGTCATGAGCTCATAGGTGGTCCATCACAAAAGATGGGGAGGGGCTGGTCACCACACCTACCCTATGGTGGAGGCCAAGCACATGCTAGGGCCCGAGAGTTTTAGACCGTGGCCTTCCCTTTGCTGGATGGCCCGGACAGGAATGATGTCAGATTGACACTTAAATATTTGGCCCTGGCCAGTGTGTCTCAGTTGGTTGAGCGTCGTTCCATGCACCAAAAGGTCACCAGTTCGATTCCAGATCAGGGCAGGTTGTAGTTTCCATACCCAGGTTGTGGTTTCCATACCCAGTCAGAGTGTGTACTGGATGGAGGCAACTGATGAATGTTTCTCTCTCTTTCTCTCTTTCTCTCTCTCTCTTTCTCTTCCTCTCTCTCTCCCTTCCTCACTCCAAAATCAATAAAAACATATTTAAAATATTTGTCTACAGTGTTTCCATTCTCTCAGGAAAAGCCTACTAGAAAAGATTAAAATCAAATGGTCTACCCCTGAGGCCTTTCCAGGCCTAATCCTTCTCTGGACCCAACACATATTGATGGAAACCTATTATATATGCCAGGCCCTTTTTCCATTCATTAACTCATCTGATCCTCATACCAACTCTGGGAAGCAGACTTTCTTATCCTTTATTTCCTCTGAAGAAAGAAAACCTCAGAAGTTAAGTGATTTGCCAATAGTCATAAAATTAACAGAAATGGTAGGGCTGAACTCAGTCCTAATCTGACATCTCTAAGCTGTCAGCACTGGAGACAGTGAGGGCGATGGCTGCCCATTTCCAGAGTCCCCAGAGCTTCCCAAGGCGACAAAGCCCAGCTTAACACTGGCCTGTGCACCCTCTGAACTCTCCTGTCAAGAGAAGAGGTTGTGTTTCCAGAGACCTCACCATGAATCAGAAGTGAGAATAGAGGGGAGCGGGACCCCAAATATCTGAGCAGGTCTGAGCAGGAGAGAGGCCTCAGAATATCCCCCAGAGCACTCGTGTTCTACAGATTGAGAAGCGACAGAGCCAAAGGAGACTGTTCTGAGGACTCAACGCCTTCCAATTTTTTTATTTTATTTTAGATAAAATTTTACTACCTTTTAGAAACTCCTGAGCTCTTGCCCTGAAAGGTTTCCAAACTACTGACTCCTTAGAAGTCCTAGTTAGCTTTCCCAATAGCATCCAAAAAAGAAACTGAAACCCCAAAAGACAGATTAGGTGAGGGGGTCTAACCATAGGTCTCCCAGTAAACCTGGAGCCAGAATACTGCCAGCTAGCCAATGCATACCACATGTTTCTTCTGTGCTGTGCACTGGGCTCAGCGTTTAACAAGAAACTGTTTAGGCCTGGCTGGTGTAGCTCGGTTCACTGGGCATCACCCTGTGTACTGAAAGGTTGCTTGTTCGATTCCGGGTCAGGGCACATGCCTGGATTTTTGGGCTTGATCCCCAGGAGGGAGCATGCTGAAGGCAGCCAATGGATGCTTCTTTGTTTCTTTCTCTCCCTCTCCTTTCCTACAGAACCCTGGAACAAGGGGGAAGTTCAGGCTCCATCAGTTTACCTTTGGCAAACTGGGGGAAAAAAGAAAAAAAAAGAAAAAAAAAGGAATAACACTAATTCTGACACCTCAAGAGAGAAACTGAGATACTTTGTGAAAGCTGCTCATCTGGCCCTAGCCAGTTTGTCTCAGTGGATGAAGCATAAGTTTGCAAACTGAAGGGTCTCAGACATGTACCTTGGTTGCAGGCTCCTCTCCTGGTTGGGGTGCATGCAGGAGGCAACCAACCGATGTATTTCTCTCACATCGATATTTCTCTGTCTTTCCCTCTCTCTTCCACTTTCTCTAAAAATCAATGGGAAAATATCCTAGAGTGAGGATTAACAAGAAAAAAAAATCTGTCCAACTGAAGAAAAGCTGCTTCATGAACTGTAAGGCCTGTGTACAATTTGACTGCAGTTGTGCCATCAGGTGAGGCAACTCCCACACTTCTGGGCAAGGAATGGCCTACCCAGGCTTACCCAACTCTGTCTATGGCACTCAGGAAGGATAAAACCTTGAAGTGCTTCCAGGAGGATGAGGAAAGAGGCAACTCCACCCCCTATTACACTGGAAAAGATCTCTGGGAGCCTCTGCAAGGCCACTGTGATGAAAACATCTGGGTTGGCCCACAGTAAGAAGGTCCAAGAAAAGATCCAGGATGCAAACAAGACACTCTTAATTTGCTGATGAGAAGTCTCTGAGCCAAATAGACATAGGTCAGGGTTCAATGAGGTTGAGGGTATAAAGAACCAGTGAAAGCCCAGCCGGTGTGGATCCCCAGTTAGGGGGAATGGGGGGCGGGCAGGAGGCAGCCAACCGGTGATTCTCTCTCATCACTGATGTTTCTATGTCTCTCTCACCTTCCCTTCCTCTCTGAAATCAGTACAAGTATATTTTAATTAAAAAACAGTAACAACCTGTGAGAGAGTGCAGAGCAGTATAAAAATGACTCTACTAGAACCAGTACACCAACTACTTGTGGATGAGCCATCAGTCTCCTGTCTCCATTCACCTGCTCAATCACCCATCTGTCAAGTATCTGCTGAGACCTCCCAGGAGCTTGGCCATGTGATAGGCACTAGAAAACCAGCTGCAAGCTTGGCCCTAAAAGTTTTGCAAGAGAGATGGCATGCAACTAATCATTACACAGACAACTGTTCAAAGCATAAAGGGAGAGTGCTGTGATAGAGGACAATAAGATAAATGAAATTAATGGGGAGGCCAGGAAACATCATTCTTCTATAAAGGGGAAAAGGTTCTGGGGTTAGAGAGCAGTGATTGGCTCATTCATCCTACATGAGATTCTGAAGCACATTTATTAATAAGCTGGCTTGTGAAAAGGAAACAAGGTCATTAGAAGAGTTGCCAAGTCGTCTATCACTCCAAGTTCATTGCTTTTCTATTAAATTTCATGATCTGGAAAAGGCAGGGGACAGGTGATATCATTTTTAGTAAGGTCTCAGTACTATCCTTGTGGACAAGAGAGAAAAACATGAGTTTCGAAATAACAAAGTGATCCTTGCATGGTTGGTGTTTACCCTTGTTATCTTCCAATTTTTAAATCTATATATATATACACAAAACCGGTTTGGCTCAGTGCATAGAGCATCGGCCTGTGGACTGAAAGGTCCCAGGTTTGATTCCAGTCACGGGCACATCCCCAGTAGAGGGTGTGCAAGAGGCAGCTGATGGATGAATTCTCTCTCAACAATGTTTCTAACTTTCTATCCCTCTCTCTTCCTCTCTATAAAAAAATCAATAAAATATATTTAAAAAAATAAAAAGAGTGTGAGGGTTTGGACTGACATTAAGGTAGCCGTAAGCTCCTTATAGACCTGGGGATCTGACAAAGAGCTCCTGGGTCTTGGTTTTTTTAGGGCCGAAAGGGAGGAGCAGATACACAGGAGACAGTAGGGTATATCTCAAAATGTAGGTCCCATAGCCAGGTAGACCAAGGTATGGACAAGCTGGAAGAATATAAAGAAGGCAGGAATCCAGAGCAGAAGGGACTTGCCTGGATACAGAGGGTGCTCTTTACCCAAGAGTGAGAACCCATAGCAGTGGCTCCTGGGACTGTGACAGCAGAAAAACCAAGATCCAGAGAATAACTGAAGTCAAAGAACAAAGTGGGAAGGGAAGAGCCATCTTGAGACCTTGGCCTTCTCCTTCAGCTACTAGCGCCTCACCAGTGGGATATCAGCAACTGTAGCAAGGTAGCCATGAATTTCAGAGAAGAGTTTCTCTGGTGTGCATCTGAGTCAGCTATGCAGTGTCTGTGCAATGCTCTCGATGCCCACTCCAGACTGTGGCATCTGACTGCCTTGATGAGGAATGATGGCTCCTGATCACTCAACCCAGCCACCAGCAAACCCCATTTCCAACAGGTCCCTTGATTCTGCCTGGGCTAAGCTCCTGGAAAAGCCACTGAAGGGCTGTGGGGAGTGGCAACCTCCTTTTAACTGCCCCTCAAGCCAAGGGAAGTGGTTCTCCTAGGAGTTGAGTCCCAAGTAAAACACCCAACTTTTTTCCTGGCAAGGCTGGTATGGTTCTGCCAAATTAGAGATCTCTGCAGGAAAGCAGGAAAGCCCAGACGTTAGGCACCACCACAGGACCACTCTGGCCAAGGGCTCTTCTCAGGGCCAAATACCAGTCAGTCCTTGGTATTTGTCATCAGGATAGCCATCCTCCCTTTCTTTTAAGTTCTATCCCTAAATTTCCACATGTGCACAGGATGGCTCTTCCAAGGGACCCTCAAGGGCCCCATCACCCTCCACTGATTGCTGCTCCTACTGGGTTCCTAATCCCAGTTAATATCACCACGAATCCAGCCATTTTCCCATCTGCCCTTCTTGCTAAGGCACCCATCTGTCACTAAGACCTGTCAGACCACCCCTGTTCCCACTTCCTGCATCCATCACTGCCTTGCTTCAGGCCACTTGCCTCTTCCGCTGGCCCTTACACCAATCAGTCCATCCTTCTCAGTTTCACCAAAGGGACCTTTTTCTTTTTCTAAAGTATATTTTTATTGATTTCAGAGAGGGATAGGGACAGAGAGACAGAAACATCAATGATGAGAGAGAATCATTGATCAGCTCCCTCTTGTACACCCCCTCCTGGGGGAATTGAGCCTGCAACTAGGTCATGTGCCTTTGACCAGAACTGAACCCGGGACCCTTCAGTTCGCAGGCTGACAATCTATCCACTGAGCCAAACCAGCTAGGGCCAAAGGGACCTTTTTAAATTTAAGTCTGTCCAGGTTGCTATCTATTAACCATAAACAGGTTGAAAGAGACCCGACCCCATCTGACTCCAGCCTGTTTACCTCCTGAACCAGAACAGCCCTCAATATTGCTCCATAGCAAACATCGCCCTGAGTGCCAGAAGGGCAGGCCAAAGGCTGGGCCCAGGCCAGGAGCATGCAAACCATTACCAATCAAGTATGTATTTGGGACCTCAAACTTCTCACTAACCCCAAACCCTGCTCCAATAAATATCACACAGGCCAGGAGCATGACCACGACAATGCTGCTCTCTCAGCACTGGGCTTGATAGATGATCCTAAATGGATGGATTAACAAAGAGAGTACCCATGCAACCTTCCCTTCACTTTGCAGGCTCCAGGGCCTGGAAATGGCTGCAGTTCCCTAGAGTTCAGCAGAGGATCTGTAACACTGCTTTGGCTTCAAAGCTTGTACTTGGGCCTCTCACCAACCAAAATGGCTCCTCAGACCAAACCTTCAAGTTCCCCTATGTACCCACCAAGGCTGTGGCCATTCTTGGTGTAGAAGCAGGTGCTGTTGATGAGGTTGACACAGCAGCCAATCACGTCTCCTGTGGTGAATGTGGGACCATAGGGCTGACCAGTTCCGGAGGAGCAGAAGGAATGCCCATCATCTCCATGGTAACCGTAGGAATGTTTATCCCAACCTGTGGGAGAAGAGAGCAGTCACAGCTGAGTAGAGGTACTTGAGAGAAGCAAGACAGCCACAGAAGCTCACCCAGGTCTGAACTCCTCTCCCCAGCCTACCACCACCACATCAGTCAGCACTCTTGGCCTCTCACAGCGACTGTGGACAGGGTCTGGCTGTGCCAAATGAGCAGTGAGTCCAGCAGCTCACTATCTCTGAGGAGCTGAGACAGTCCTACTGAAGAAGCAGCCCAAGCTGTGGTTAGCAGGAACCACATGAGTGACCTGGAAGGGACTTACTAGAAGTCTGTGCAACAAGAAGATGGGTCAGGGAAATTCTCAAGGAGAGGGGGCTTGAAATGAGCTCTGAGGTGTATCACGGTGGGTTAAAAAAATTTTTTTACACTTGATCTTAGCCAAAAAGCCAAGAAGTGATGAAAAAAAATATTTTTAACTGAAGTATAATTTACATGTAATGAGATTCTCCCATTTTAATTGACAGTTCAATTAAATTTTAACAGATTTTAACAAATGTTGGCACATGTTACCACCACCACTATCAAGATATAAAGCATTTCAATCACTCCCAAAAGTTTCCTCCTACCTCTTTGTAGTCAATCCCCCTCCACCTACCCCCAAGTCCCTGATTTGTTCCTATGGTCTTGCCTTTCCAGATGTAATATAAATGAAATCACAGAATATAGAGTATCTTGTAATTAGTTTTTTCCCATTTGAGATTCATCTACATTGTTAAATGTACTAGTATTTTGTTTCTCTTTACTGCTGAATAACACTCCATTATATGGATATACCACAGTTTGTCTGTCTATTCACTAGTTGATGACATTCTAAGTCATTTCCAATTTTGGCTATTATGAATAAAACCAATACATATTTACACACAGACATAAGTTTTTCATTTCTCTTGGGTAAATGCCTAGAAGTGGCTACTGCTGGGTTATAAGATAAGTACATGTTTAACTTGATAACAAACTGCCAAACTGTTTTCCAAAGTGGCTGTACTGGTTTGCCTTCCCACTAGCAATGTACATGAGTTCCACATTTTCATCAGTAATTGATATTGTCAGTTGTCTTTGTTTTCTTCTTCTAGCCAATTAATACCATTTTGCTTTAATTTGCATTTTCCCAGTGACCAAGGATGTTGAACCTTTTTTCATATACTTATTTACCTTGGTTTATTAAAAAATTATGAAACTGTTTAAATCTTTAACCCCTTTTTTTTTTTTTTTTTTTTAAATATATTTTATTGATTTTTGTACAGAGAGAATGGGAGAGAGATAGAGAGTCAGAAACATCAATGAGAGAGTCATCGATCAGCTGCCTCTTGCACACCCCCTACTGGGGATGTGCCCGCAACCAAGGTACATGCCCTTGACCGGAATCGAACCCGGGACCCTTCAGTCCCCAAGCCGACGCTCTATCCATTGAGCCAAACCGGTCCTGGCATCTTTAACCCCTTTTTAAAAATTATGTTTTTCCCTTGCTGGTTTGGGTTAGTGGATACAGTGTCAGCGCGCGGACAGAAGGGTCCCAGATTCAATTCCAGTCAAAAGCACATGCCCAGGTTGCAGGCTAGATCCCCAGTAGACAACCGATGATCCTCTCTCATCACTGATGTTTCTATCTCTCTTCCCCTCTCCCTTCCTCTCTGAAATTAATAAAAAAATATATTAAAAGTAAATAAATCATATGTCTTCATTGATTTTTTTAGAGGAAGAAAGATAGAAACATCAATGAGAGAGAAACATCATCCATCGTCAGTCTCCTACACATCTCTTACTGGGTGGGGATTGAGCCCACAACCCAGGCATGCCCTACTGGGAATTGAACCAGTGCTGGTTCCAGACCAGGCAGGCTAACCCTTTTTTAAAAATGGATTGTGTACCTTATTGCTGTAAGAGTTCTAAATACATCTTGGATCTAAATTCTTTTGTGTGTCTTGTAAATATTTTTTCCCAGTCTATGGCCTGTCTTTCCATTTTCTGAACAATGTCTCAGATTTCTACTAAGATTTTGACTGGAATTGTGTTGAATCTATAGGTCAATCTGGAGAATAGTTTAATAATGTTGAATATTCCAACACAGGAATATGGCTCTCTCCACTTATTTAGGTCTTCTTTCATTTCTCTCAACAATGTTTTGATAAATTTATCTCTAAATACTTCAATTTAATTTCCAATTGTTTCTTGCTGTTATAACAAAATATTTTGGGGGATGAGGAAATGGGGTCAAGGTTTCTTTCTGGAGTAATAAAAATGTTCTAAAATTAGATTATGATAATTTGTACAACTCTGTAAACATGCTAAAAAAAACATTGAATTGTACACTTTAAATAGATGCACTTTATGATACGTAAATTTTATCTCAATAACACTATTAAAAACATACATATATTTGATATTTTATATATTCACCTGATATCCTGCAACCTTTTCAACTCACCAATTAGTTCTGGTAGCTTTTATGAAGATTCTTCAGAATATTTTAATATATACTGTCTGATAATAAAGACAGTTTTATTTCTTCCTTTCCACTCTGCATGCCTTTTATTTCTTTTTCCTGACTTACTGCACTGACCAGGAACTCCAATACAATGCTGAATAGAAATGATGAGAGCAGAAGTGAGACCTCCAATGTGTACCAAGGTTTTATACAGGGGAGAGAATGAAGGGGGTCATTCCAGGAGGGAGAAGTAAAGGTAAAGGCATGAATGCAAGTAGAACAGGAGGATGTGTGTTGCAGAGGGGCCTACCTGCCTGCCAGGCTAAGGAACAGAAATGGAGCCCACAGGGCCCAGGCAAGCCCAGGACCCACACAGGGTAGGCAAGCTGAGGGGCTGGCGGGCAGGTCTACTCCCCAAGGCAGTCCCTCCCAGTAACTTTCCCAGCCTCTGCTGCTTCCTTAGTGTCAAAGCAGCAGGCCCGTGTAAACATGCTTAATGGCACCCTGCCTTCCCAAGTGGCATGGGTAGCAGAAGTGAAGGTTGAAGAAAAGAGTTGTGGGCAGCCGAAACCAGTTTGGCTCAGTGGATAGAGCATTGGCCTGGGGACTGAAAGGTCCCGGGTTCGATTCCAGTCAAGGGCACGTACCTTGGTTGCGGGCACATCCCCAGTAGAGGGTGTGCAAGAGGCAGCTGATCGATGATTCTCTCATCGATGTTTCTAACTCTCTATCCCTCTCTCTTCCTCTCTGTAAAAAATCAATAAAATATATTGGGGGGGAAAAAAGAGTTGTGGGCAGGCTCTAAGCAAAGGTGTCGGGGTGAGAACAGATGCATGATAGGGGTTAGCAAGGGAGGCAGAGAGCATGACTGAAGAGGTGGGGCTGACTAGACCTTGGAGCCTAAACTCAGCCCTGCATTTTAACCAGTGGGCTCAAGGGCAGGTTGCTCCTCATAATCACAGCATCCATCCCAAGCCTTATGTATCTTGATCCTTCATGTCTTCAGCCAGGATCCCTCTGGTTAAAGAAGATTCCCCCCAAGGGCCTTTAGTGGGATACAAGCCACAGCGGAATGGCTCTCACTAATGGGTGCAGAGCCCCAAACCCTGCTGCTCCCCTCCAGGCATCTCCCCGCCAAGTCACAAAGCTACTATCATGAGAACTGCTCAGGGCTGGTTTTAAAGGCCCAAGGACCTGGAGCCAGGCTCTGTTCTCAGCTTCCCAGTTCCCCAGACACTGAGACTGCCTGGTTTAGGGAACATGTTGTTGCTCTGGTCATTAACCCAACTTCTAAGCTCCTCATTCATACCCAGGAATGGGAAGGGCTTTACTATTGCTGGTGGGTATGCAAATCATGTGACCTCAGGAAATGACTCTGGGACACAGCAATGCCCATTTCCCCACCGATGCCCATTCCCCCATCGAGAGGCAGGCTGATAGGGATATCTTAGGCAAGGCCTCTCCTCAGGCTCCTGGTCTACAGAAGGCCATAGATGAAGAACAGCCAGCTGGACAGCAGTGAGGACCAAAGTGACAAGCATCCCTCCAGGTTTGGCTCAGACTGAGCCTGATGGGCCCAAGCATGCCCACCAGCTTCCCCTGGCTCATGGTCCATATCCACATCAGTCACAGCAGTCCTTCCTTTCCCTCTCTTCCTGGATCCTCAGTTGGAGCATGTGGACTTGCCACATGCAACCCAGTAACTGACCACAAGGTAGCAACCTGTTAGAAAAGCAGGTGTTTGGCTCAACAAGTACTGCCATTCTACCGCACCAAGAGACTGGGGGCTTGCTCATCAGCCCACACAGCTGAGAAGTGCCAAAGCTAAGATTTGAACACAAATCTTGTTGTTGTTTTTAAAATATTTTGTTGTTGTTTAATATAGTATATTTTTATCAATTTCAAAGAAATTACTCCGGAAATAACACAGCATGAAGAAGGGAGAGGGAGAGAGAGACAGAAACATCAACAATGAGAGAGAATCATTGATCAGCTGCCCCTCCACACACACACACACACACACACACTTGGGATCAAGCCCACAACCTGGGCATATGCCCTAACTGGGAATTGAACTGTGACCTCCTAGTTCATAGGTTGATACTTAACCACTGAACCATACTGGCCAGGCTGAACTCAAATCTTTAAGTTCCAAATCCATATTCTTCTTGCCACAGGTACTGTCCCATTTGAGGTGGTGACTAGCCTGGCAGTGGAAACACCCAACCCCCTGCCCCATCACCATGAGAGTGGTCAGATGCATTGATTTTAGGGAGCTATGGACCTGGGACCTCTGTCTTGCAGTGAGTCAGGGGGTCTGCAGGCCTGCAATGAAGGAAGGCCTAGGCTCAGCCCTAGAGGAAGACACAGGCACTGACTGGTACTTCCTGTCTGAAGACTGCAACTGCCATCTCTGCTCTCTCCAAGGCACACCCACCCTCCTGCCTCACCCAGCAGACCAAGACACATCTCCACCCAACCCCCACCCCACAAGGATGATCCTGGGTGGCACATCTTTTATGCAGGCTTTACTATCTACAAAGTAGAAGACATGAAC